TGCACTGACCCTTTGATCTAATGTTCTTCCTTCTTTCCCCTCAAACATGACCCCTGACCATATTCAACTGCTTGGTTCAGTTTCAGAGGCCTCTTGTGAGCAGCTTTAAGAAATATAAAAACAATATAAAAACCTAATCTTGCAAAGCTTCTTTTCCGGTAACATTGTACTGCAAACTAGGGCATACAAAACCTTTGCTAGACCAGTTCTCGAATACAGCTCGTCTGCTTGGAATCCGCACTGTATATCGGACATTAATACAACTGAACGAGTCCAGAGGTATTTCACGAGAAGAGTCCTCCACTCCTCTGCTCAAAACAAAATCCCTTATGCCACCAGACTCGAAATTTTGGGCTTGGACAACCTAGAACTACACCGCCTACGGTCCGACCTAAGCATAGTACACAAAATTGTCTGCTACAACGTCCTACCTGTCAATGACTACTTCAGCTTCAACCGCAATAATACACGAGCACACAATAGATACAAACTCAAGGTAAACCACTCCAAACTCGATTGCAGAAAAAAAGACTTCAGCAGCAGAGTGGTCAATGCCTGGAATGCACTACCTGACTCTGTGGTTTCATCCTCAAACCCTCAAAACTTTACCCTTAGACTGTCTACTGTTGACCTCACCCCATTCCTAAGAGGTCTGTAAGGGGGCGTGCATAAGCGCACCAGTGTGCCTTCCGTCCCTGTCCTATTGTCCCCATCTCCTGTATTCATATCCATGTCTATACTTATTCCTATTATCTCGTACATGTTTGACCAACTGAATAAATAAGTAAAATAAATTTAACTTCAAATATTGCTATCTTGTTTATTTGAATTCATTAGCCGCCTAATTCCATGGGATTCTGCCATCTTAGGCAAATCTCTTTTGTTCTTGCCGGAGATGAAGCCAGATGTAGTTTGTAGAGCAGGGGATAACTGTCTGCACACACACACACACACACACTCACTCACACCCAACCTGGACTTTTGAAGGTTCGTTGCCTGATTGTACACTTTAAAATACGGAAACCTGCATGTTTTATTCCTGCCCTTTCTAGAACAAAGCATTAAAGCAAACAAAGAGAGGTTTGGTCTGTTCCTGCATTCTCGGGAGCACCTTTTCATGCTCAGCCCCCACTTGTAGAGAAGTTGGCTGAATCCATGCGACATCCTAAGTCATAAACCATCATTTACCGCTTACAACCCCTGAATCTGCATGACCAGCCAAGCCCGAACTAAAGCCTGTTCCCGGACTTTTAAACGCAGCCTGCTCACCCATCCCTTCCAGCACTGAACTTATTAACAAAGCCATCTAGGTAATCTCCTCTTTGCTTGTTGAAAGCACAAGCGACAGAAGTAGTCGATTAAAGCCCCGGGTTGCTTTGATTGACTCCAGCCCACCTCCCTCTCTGGGGGAAATGTGCATTCCGTTGAAAAAAAACTCCATGGGATTTTCATTCCAGAGCCAACGGACTTAGGATCAAGCTGAAACTCGGCATAGCATGATTTGAAGCAGCGCTGCTAAATCATCTCCCCCTCCCAATTTGACAAGAAGCTAGAACTCTAGCTGGCGGGGCATATTTCAGTCTTCCCCGAACCAGGTCCACTGCACCCCCTCCCATTCCCCCCCTTGGAAAAAAAAAAGGCAGTGGTTTGGCAGTTCAGCCCACCATCTTCCCCACATTCAGCTGCCGTCGGCCTGCAGCGCATCCATCACCTCGTCTTAGCTTTGCCATGGCAACAGGCATCTCAAATGGGCCCAGTTTTCCTCCAGTCCCATTTGTCAATAACACATCAGCTTGTTTTTCCTTTGGGGGTTTGCAAAGCCTGACACCTTCACACCCCCTCATCAAACACAGACAGCAGCGCTTATAATCCTGGAGCAGCCTTCAGCCTCTCCGATGGTCCGGTTGAAAGGCTGACATAAGCGGGAGAGAGAAATCCAAAACTTCTAATCGGAGAGGTCAGGGGGTCTTAGTTAATCCCGTGATGCATTTTTAAGAAGAGGTGGATTCTGGGTTTTTGCAAGGATGAAAAAAAAAAAGCACCATTTGGAAGTTTCATTCGACTTCCAGGCTGAAGGGAGGGCGAACAATCCCAGAAATTAATTTTCAGTGGGTTGTTTTTGGGGTGTGTGGCAAGAGGCCTGTAACACATTCATTTTCTACAAGGATTCTCACACGATACACCAGTGGTGGGTTGCAACCGGTTCGCACCGGTTCTACAGAACCGGTAGTAAAACCGACGGGAGGCTCCACCCACCGACCCCGACATCATCAAAACGCTTCTGCACATGCTCAGAAGTTTCTGTGCTTGCGCAGAAGAGCGCGCTTGGCCCCGCTACAAACCGGTAGTAAAGATAAGTAGAACCCACCCCTGCTATACACTCTTATTTTGCATTAAAATAGGCTCAGGTTTTTAATACAGCCCTTCTTTTCTAGTATCCTTGGTTCTTACTTACTCTTCTCTATAACAAAATATCAATCTCAGGAATCGGTAGTCTATCAATTTAATTGCAACACAATCTGCCCCCCCCCAAAGAAACTCCTACTAGGCCAAATATTTAAGTCTATACTTTCTAGGGATAACATCCAGCCACACCCTTTTGCGGGTCTTGGAGAGGAAAAAAAAAGAAAAATCAAGTATGCAGCTTGCAAAGCCAAAAAAGCTGCCTTTGCAGTACTCCTCCTTTGCAAGTGAAATGGAGTCTTAATCAGGCAACAGTCAGGATCCCAAGCTTTCGCTCACAAGAGCAGGCAGCAGATAAACCAGGCACCAAGCTGGGGGAGACCAAGGACAATTGCCTGGATTGAAGGAAGCTGAAGAGTCACCTACATCGAGCAGGGAGAAGGAAACACAAGCTCTTTGTCTCCAGGCTCAGCTATTGACGGAAACTAAATCAGAAGTGGTATCAGCCCCTGCCAATTCCCCAGAAAAAAAAAGTATTGAAGCAGCAAATGTCAAGCATCTGCCTAAGCACAGCTAAAGCTAGTTAACCTTAATCAGGTCACTGGAAGATCTCCCAGTCACACAACCCACACACCAGTAGACTTTTACTCCCACTCTCTTGCCTCTGGATTGTCTACTCCACGAGGCTTTTTCTACCAAGGATGTGTGAAGCTCATCTTTGTCTCTTTAATCAGCCTAGAGCTGGAGATGTGAGCTCTAACCTTCCTCTCTTCCATGTTTTTGCCTTTGAATCCTTTGTTTTATGGCAGCGTTCCCCAACTTTTCCGGGTCGGCGGTGAGGGGGGAATATGGGATGCAGGGGTTGTATTCGCTTACCTTCGCTACAGGTTTGCAAATGGGAGCGTGCGCCTGTGTGCACTTGCTTTACTCATACCACCTCTATGCATGCAGACCTTCCACACAGTGTGAAAAACAGGACGTGATGACATCCGGGCAGGTGGGCAGAACCCCCCACAGCCACCACTATAGTGGTGGGTTCCTCCCAGTTCAGCCAAGCCGGTAGCGGTGACGATATGACATCACTGAACCGGTTCTCTTTGTTCGGGAGCTGAGCCCTCCCACCCACCCACCCAGCCCCGCGTTATCTTACCTTTTATTTGGCCCCACCCTCAATCTATTGCTGCCTCCTGAGTCCCAGCTGATCGGCTAGAAGGAAAAAAAACTGTTTAAACTCTTGCCATGGGGCTTCAAAGGGCCGCCCTACAGCTGATCAGTGTTAAAAGGCAGTGTGGTGGTAGACCAGTGCGCTCGAAAAACAAATACGTAGACCGGTGTGCTCCAAAAACAAATACGTAGACCGGAATGCTCCAAAAACAAATGGGTAGACTGGTGCCTCAAAAAAAAATTGGGTAGACCGGAACGCTCCAAGAACAAATGGGTAGACCGGTACAACTCTGCAAGCAGTTAAAAGCCTGGTAGACCAGTACCTCTGCTAAATCCTAAAGAACTGTCACATGACCATCAAACCACGCCCACAAAATAAGCCACGCCCAGAGAACCGGTAGTAAAAAAATTTAGAACCCACCCCTACACCGCTACCAATTCGCCCAAACCGGATAGGACTGGCTGAATACCACTGATGGGATGGTTTTGTGTGAGGTGCACACATGTGCTGGTCACACAAGTGAGGCTGTGAGTGCTGGCTCCTGTTGCTTGTGTGGGTTGGTTGCAAATAGGCCACAGTTCTGTAGTGGGCTATGACCCACAGATTGGGGACCCGTTTTATGGGATTCATGAGCCCCTCCACCTTTCTGAATGAAGACTTTTTTGAGGAAGCTAGAAGAAATTCCGCACCACACAAGGACCAGCCATCATGTGATGCCTACAAGGTAGACTTACTTCCATGTGGCTGGTGGTCCCTCTGGCCCTAAAAAGAGAACCTCAATCTTTCACCACATGCGCAAATTGGTAACAAATTGTGTAACTATCTTCAACCAATGCTTCTTAAGTGTACAAGGTTTTAGTAGTGATTGTTAATTGTGCAAGATTATCCGCTTGCCACTTTAGGTGGTTTTATTAATGGTGGAAATGATCAATGATGAATTAAGAATTCTGGGCAAATCCATGTGTCAGTTTCAACTTTTCTCTATTTTCCTTTTTTTTTATCCAATTTTGGTCATTTTTGCCTCCTAGCAATAAAAAGTCTGCACAAAAATACTTACGCATTTTTGAGCAAATGTCTCCTAACGTGTCCTATTTTGGCATGCAAGGTTGGTTAATGTGCATGTATTTACAAGCAATTTTCCCTTACATAATGGAAGTTTACTATGTTATTTTCACTAATCTCCACAGTTTCTGTTTAAACTTTTTCCCCTAACAGGCAATTTTTGTACCCACTGAAGGTTGTTTTGCAAAGTCTGGAAATTGCATCTCGGTTTACACATGCTTTGGGGAAATACTGATTAGTTAGTTTTGCATTAAAATGCAAAACAGGCCATTTTCTTCACTAACCTCTGATCCTATAGTAAAGGATAAGGTGAAACTCTTTTTTCAGTTTTGCTTCAGGTTGTAATCTGGAAACAAATAATCAGATAAAGTAACTGCAGAGGTTTTTTTATCCCAAAACAAGGGACTAACAATGTATGCCTATGCATGCCTGTTCTGAAGTAAACCGTAATGAATTCAAAGGCAAACTGTTGTGACCTAGGCTCACTTAGTCATTACAAGACACTTACATCTTGGCTAGACCCGTACACCTGATTGCTTACTTTTGTGTGTTTGAGGATCTCAGGATCTGTGGTTGATTTGATTGATTACGCACCATCAAGTCATCGTCAACTCTTCGTGATCACATAGAGCTTTTCCATGACGATCTGTTACTAGTCTGGTCCTTCGGCTCTTCCAGTGGTTTCCCCTTCGTCTCTGTAACTGAGTTCATCCACCTCGCTGCTGGTCCTCCTCCTATTCTTCTGCCTTCCACTTTTCCTGCATTAGAGCCTCCTCCAGAGAGCTAGATCCTCCCATCATGTGTCCGAAGGAGATAATTTGAGCCTGGTCCTTCGTGCCCCAAGTGAGAACTCTGGGTTGTTCTGTTCAATGATTAGATTTGTTTAATGATCAGGCTTGTTTCTTCTTGGCTGTCCATGGTATTCTCAGGAGCTTCTCCAACACCAAAGTTCAAACACATCAATACCCTTCCTATAGCTTGCTTCTTCAAAGCCCAACTTTCATTTCCATAGACGAGCGTCACAGGGAATAGCATCGCTTGCACAATTCTGATCTTTGTGGTTCTCTACACACTGCAGCAGCATCGGAAGGCCTTTCGAAGGCAGATAAAGGGGAATATTTGGGGTTGCGTCTGTAAGAAAACAACCAAGCTCAGAAAAAGCACTAAGGATCCCCTCATTTTCTAAGACCTTAATGGCTGCTCTAGTTCAGCGTTTCTGAGACCCCAGACAATTGGGGCAGCTCAGGCAACCACAGGCCACCTAACCATGGCTTTCAGAATTATTTGTTTGTTTATTGTTCACATGTATATGTTTGCCCATTTCGCAGAAAGTGACTCGGCAGCTACAACAATCCAATAAAACAATAAATACAAAACAACTGTTGCTTAAAATCATTTAAGTAATTATTAAAAAATAAACAACGAGCCATAAAAGCAGAACTAAACAAGAAAATAAAAATAATAAACAGAGAGCTAGCAATAATAATGGAGTCACCTCCCAAATATACTCGTCCCCTGCTTACATGGCCAGGTCTTGAGGGACCTTGGAAAGTTTAGGAATGATGAGGTTGACCACATCTCTGGGAAGAGAAGATTTCATAATGGGAGTCCCATAGCAGAAAAGGCCTTCTGCCTAAGCCAGGGATCTGCAACCTTACACACTCAAAGAGCCATTTGAACCCGTTTCCCACAGAAAACACCGGGAGCCACAAAACCCTTCCCGTGCCTGACTATTTCTTGAGCAGCCACAAAACTAGCATATGTAGTTGAATTAAACGTTCTGTTTTCTTCTGAAACTTTTCTTTTCTTGGATTTATCCATGGTTGGCCTACCAGGGGTTGAAAAGCTCAATAAATTGAGTGCCAGCGGGTGTGGCACATTGGCGGTTGTGACGCATATTTTGAGTGACAGGGAGCCGCAGCAGAGGGGTTAAAGAGCCACATGCGGCTCCAGAGCCGCAGGTTGCTGACCCCTGGCCTAGGCCCAGCCCAATGTACCTCTCTAGACAGAACCCATAGCATGCCCATTCTACTAGATCTGGTGGGATGGGCATCTGAGATTGGGAAGAGATATTTATGTGGCTCATCCTAATTGGGAGCAACTTAAGTTTCCAAGCTTCTTTTCTTCTTCCCAAAGAAAGGGGCAACCACCCCCTCTCTCCAAGATATCTGTGACAACTGACAGGGACCAGATCAAAGCTCATTGAACCCTTAAGATAATTAATGCAAGATCTGAGAGAAGGCAGACTAACTTCTGCTGAAATGCCTCCGAGACGGAAGACACCCTCCCCTCCAAGAAACACTCAATGCCCCCTTCAAACAACCGTTCACACTAGGTTTCTTCTAAAATTTAGGGCATATCTGCTTCCTGCAATTTCCATTTTAGATCCTAATCTTACGCCCTGATCCAACAGAGTAGAACTCAGCTTTATCTTGTGGCCTTTGGATATTTATTGCGCTCGTGTTTCCCTTTAGTTTTCTCCAGGCAGACTGCATCTTGCGGGACGCCTTGCGCACGGTCACTCATGCCCTCGTCACTTCCCGTCTGGACTACTGTAATGCTCTCTACATGGGGCTCCCCTTGAAGAGCACTCAGAAGCTCCAAGTGGTCCAGAATGTGGCCGCGCGGGTGATTATGGGAGCGACTTGGTGCACCTATGTAACCCCTCTCCTGCGCGAGCTGCACTGGCTCCCGGTGGTCTTCTGGGTGCGATTCAAGGTGCTGGTTACCACCTTTAAAGTGCTCCATGGCTTAGGACCTGGGTACGTACGAGATCGCCTCCTGCCACCGATAGCCTCCCACCGGCCAATACGCTCCCACAGAGAGGGACTCCTCAGGGTGCCGTCGGTCAAACAATGTCAACTGGCGACACCCAGGGGGAGAGCCTTCTCTGTGGGGGCACCTGCCCTCTGGAATGACCTGCTCCCAGAGATACGTATGATCCCCAACCTACGGACCTTTCGCTGTGCCCTTAAGACTCTATTGTTTCAACAGGCTGGGCTGGCTTAGAAAACGAATTTTAATTGGGTGTTTTTAGCTTTTTAATACAAGGACCAAATTATTTAATATGTTTTAAACTGTTTGTTAAATTTTATGGAGATATGTTGTTTTATTGTGGCTGTACACCACCCTGAGTCCTTCGGGAGAAGGGCGGTATAAAAATTTAAATAATAAATAAAATAAATAAATTTTCCAACCACTCCTCAGATAATTTTGTTTTCCAAACTCTTTTACCACCCTTGTCTCCTTCCCTTCCTGCAGACAATCTCCTTTACTGCTTCTTGCTCTCAAGACTATTTTTTTTTTCTTCTCTACACAAGACTTATTTTTGGTGCCTTTTTCCCTTCAGGTTTCTTTTTTTGGGGTTGGGGGGAACAGCATAAGTTCTGGCAATAGCTGTAGGGAAGGAAATTGTGGGAGGAAGTCCAAAAGTAGCCTGAGGCCTTGCACACAGCCTATACGAGAGCCAGCATTTCAAAATGGCTTCTGCACCAGCCAGATATTAGGTGCATTCATCTATAGTTCCTGTACTTCTCCACCCGCAGTCAGTGGTTCCATTGGAAACCAGTTCCCTCCAGTCCTAGAACAGCAGGGTGTGTGTGTATGTCCTCTGACAGAGCTGTTAATAAAGTTGAGTCAGCCTATTGCCCCCAACTATCTGGTCCTCATTTTACCCACTTCAGAATAATAGCAGATGAGTAAAATACCTGCTTAGTTATGATTTCCAGCATTAGGTAAAGGTAAAGGTTCCCCTTGCACATATGTGCTAGTCGTTCCTGACTCTAGGGGGTGGTACTCATCTCCATTTCAAAGCCGAAGAGCCAGCACTGTCCAAAGATGTCTCCATGGTCATGTGGCCGGCATGACTCAATGCCAAAGGCGCACAGAACGCTGTTACTCTCCCACCAAAGGTGGTCCCTATTTTTCTACTTGCATTTTTAACGTGCTTTCAAACTACTAGGTTGGCAGAAGCTGGGATAAATAATGGGAGCTCACCCCGTTACGCGGCACTAGGGATTCGAACCGCTGAACTGCCGACCTTTCGATCGACAAGCTCAGCGTCTTAGCCACTGAGCCACCTTGTCCCTTTTCCAGCATTGGACAGGTCCAAATACTGTTTATGTGTTTTTCTTTTCTTCTTTTCCATGCCTCATTTAGAAAACAATATGAAAGGTGCCAAATTTCACAGGTAGACCTTACAGAGGGCCACGTGCCTAAAGACGAAGGACCTAATTCAACTCTGCCAACCTAAATAAATGTATAAAAGTATTAGGAAGGTGATGAGTCCAATTCCCTGATTTAAGAACTAAACATTCACCACTACTATCATTCCCCCCTCTTCCCTGCCTGCTAAACCGAGTTTGAATTTCCACTCCTTCAGACTATTCTTACTGGTCCAATTTATGAAGAAATCTGCAAAGTTTGGCAAGGTCTTATTTTTAAAACCATTGAGGCAGCATTCTCACCCCTCCCTATGCTGGTATGCACACCGAGGGGAGGTGGCTGGATTTAAACAGCATGCCGGGCCTTGCAACATAACTTGGGAAAGTTTTTCTAGTTGGCTTGGCACAGCCGTGTGACCCTTCCTGCACTGTGATTGGGGGCGGGGAAGGAGGGAGGGAGGGAGGGGGAGAAACAAGCACCCCTCCCACCCTTTGAAGAATGCCGAATCCAGGGAGTTAGCTCTGCATTCATTACCAAGCCTTCCACTTTCTGCAAATTCCCACCTACACCCTCTTAGCGCCGAGTTTATACAGCATGACAAGGAGCCTGTGGTAACTCCTCTGCGATTATGGCTTATGGCGCATATTTCCCCGTGGAGTTCTGCTGATGCTTGAGCATTTTTTTAAATTTTTTTTTGCAGAGGCCCCCATTCTATTTTGAGGCTGGAAATTAAAAGAAGGAAGCTTGTCCTCTGTGTGCAATATGCCAGATCCGCCACCCTCCACTGCGGACCGCAATATTAGCAGCCTGCCATATTTTACGTCCACCCCAATGCCACCAGGTCCCCTGAATTAGAAATTTGTGCCCGGAATTTGTGACACTTGGCTTAAATAGGCCAGGGCACAGATGGCCTTTGGAAATTCTCCACCAGATATGTGGGCAATGGAGCTGGACAGATCATTTCCCCTCTGTGTCTTTCCAAGAAGAAGATCCCTGCCCATTCCGCAAGGGCAATGCTGCCCTTTCAAAGGTGGTGGGATATAATACCACTAAGGAAAAAAAAGCCCAATAGGAAGAATCTGTCCTGGGAGTGAAAGGAGATACGGGAAGGCAGAGATGGCAGCACGTCGCTTGCACCCACAACAGTGGTGGAATTCAGATTTTTTTACTACTGTTTCTGTGGGCGTGGTGTGGCTTCGTGGCAAGGGAAGGATATTGCAAAATCTCCATGCCCTCCCCATTCCTGGAGGAAGGATATTGCAAAATCTCCATTCCCTCCCCATTCCTGGAGGAAGGATATTGCAAAATCTCCATTCCCTCCCCACTCTGAGGCCAGCCAGAGGTTGTATTTGCCGGTTCTCTGAACTACTCAAAATTTCCGCTACTGGTTCTCCAGGACCTGTCAGAACCGGCTGAATAGCACCCCTGAACCAGGGGTGAAATGCTCCCGGTTCGGACCAGATCGCCCGATCTGTTAGCGATGGCGGCGGGTGGTTCGGAGAACCGGTAGCAAAAATCCCTCCCCACTTTGCCCAGCTGAGCCACGCGATCATCAGAGGCTTTTTTTTTTTTTACTTTTAAAAGCATTTTTTCTACAACCTCTTCGGCTGAAAAAATGCTTTTAAAAGTTAAAAAAAAAAGCCTCTGATGATTGCATGGCTCAGCTGGGATCGTCAGAGGCTTTTCAAAGCATTTTTTTCTGCAACCTCTTAAGGTTGTAGAAAAAATGCTTTTAAAAGTAAAAAGAAAAGTTGGCCACACCCACCGTCACATTACCCCCCCCCACCAAGCCACGCCCACAGAACCGGTAGTAAGAAATTTTACATTTCACCACTGCTCTGAACCACAACTATACTGTGAAAGACAAGACATCCACATTCAAAGCCCGTCACTTCGGCCATCTTGTTTCTAAGTCACGGTAAGGCAGCCTCCTCAATTCGTGAGAATCCTTCTGAAATTCCTTCTTGGAAGAGTTTCTAAGGCCGTTTTCTCTTTCATCATATTAGATGAGAACCGGAGGGGGTGAGGAGGATAATTTTTCTGCCTGGCACTCAGAGACTACAAAGGGAGCCAGCTCACCCAGAAACAGGCAGGCGTTTGGAAACAGCCCAATGAAAGAGACGGTTCTGTTGCGGCAGCTTTTTGGGGAACCTTCGAAATCCTTTCAGAGGAAGTGAGCTGCTATCACGAGGTTCTGAATCAATGATTCAAGCAAGAAAAGAGATGGAAGACAGAGATTTAGAGAGCAAACACTGGGTACGCTGAGCATTTTTTTTTTTTTTTTACAAAGGTCTGATGTCCAGGAAGATCCTCGGCATCGTTAGATGACACAGAGCCTCAGTCCTGATGTATTGTAGACAAAAGATCTGTCCAAATACTCTCAAAAGACAAGCCAACATGTAGCTCATCACGTTTGGGCTGCTGTGCTCTACACCACCTCTAGATGGCAGCAATGAGAGGCAGAAATCTACCTTTACTGACATTTATAGGCGGCCTAGAGTTTTGCATCCAGATTGCATATAGTCCTATTACTATCATTGAAAGATAGTAGGAACATTTTCTCCCTGGGGTGAAGCCTAGAAAAATCAGGAACATTTTCTCCCTGGGGTGAAGCCTAGAAAAAGTTTTTTTTAAAAAAAATAGTTTGAAACATTTATACAACATTCAATGCCATAGAACCATGATGGCGAACCTATGGCACGCGTGCCACCTGCCATATCAGTGGGCACGCGAGCTCAGCTCTGGGGCGCATGCGCGTGCTGGCCAGCTGATTTTCAGGCCTTCTGGGCCCACCAGAAGTAGGGAAACAGGCTGTTTCCTGACTCCAGAGGGCCTGGGGAGGGTGGGGAAGGCTGTTTTTGCCCTCCCCAGGCTCCTGGAGAGGCTCTGGAGCCTGGGGAGAGCAAAAAATGGGCCTTCCAGTCCCACTGGAAGACGGCAAATGGGCCGTTTCTGGCCTCTGGGAGGGGTGGGGACGGCCGTTTTCACCCTCCCCAGGCTCCTAGAAAGGTTTTGCGCATGTGTGGGGGATGGGGTGCATAGAATTATGGGTGTGAGCACGCACGTGTGCGACCCCCCCCCCCCCCCCCCCCCCCCGCTTTTGGCCCACAATGGGAAAAAGGTTAGCCATCACTGCCATAGAACCACCATAGTTTAGAGGTAAGGACTGTATTCCGCTCTGGCTTGTTCTGGGTTCTGGGCCACCTTTTAGGGGAAGCTGGGGAAGAAACCCAGAGGTTCCTGCAGTGCACATCAACAGGTCCGTTGCAAACTTGGCTAACTTTGCCCAACATCCTGAATTAAGTTACTGGTTTTTGCAGCTTTGCATGCTGTGCTGAAAGAGACCGTTTGAGGCAGTGGTGAAATCCAAATTTTTTTACTACAGGTTCTATGGGCGTGGCATGGTGTGGCTTGATAGGCGTGGCTGGGGAAGGATACTGCAAAATTCCCATTCCCATCCCACTCCTGGGGGAAGGACATTGCAAAATCCCCATTCCCACCCCATTCTGAGGCCAGCCAGAGGTGGTATTTGCACCTTTCTCCGAACTGCTCAAAATTTCCGCTACCAATTCTCCAGAATCTTCCAGAACCTGCTGGATTTCACCCCTGGTTTGAGGACTTTATGGTTTGGTGCATCGCATAAACTCCTCCAAATAGAGTTCCTCAGCATTCAGGTTAAGCACGTTGTGTGAATACAGCCAGGATTGAGTCATTTGGGTCAGCATAGCCCGAGTGTTAAGGCCTCTAACCCCCCACCCCACCCCACCCATACCCCACCCCCATGCCTGAGCACTTTTTCTGGCGGCCAGTGAGAAAGATGAAGGAATGTGGGAGTTCAGGGACCTGGAAGAATTTGGTTGTGCTGAGTGTAAACTAACAGCTGCCACCTCTCCCGGACGGGGAGGGGGACAGGAGGGATGGGCGACCCTCAGCTTCACCTCGAAAGCATTTTAAAGCAACTCCTCTCCACACCCTCTCCGCAACTCTCCCAACTCGCCTCCTTCACGCGGCAGCAAAAGTTGCAGCGGGGAAAAGAGCCTCGGCTTCAGATCCACGCCGCGTTGGCGCGCACGCACCCAAGCCTCGCGGGGACGGAGGGAGGGAGGGAGGTGGCCGTTTGGCAGCGCCCGTAGCTTTCCCTTTGGCTGGGCGGCGTTTGGCAGGCTAGCTCGTCCGGCAGCCGGAGGCAGCGCCGTCGGAAGAAGGTGTTCGCCTTTTGAACCGCAGCCCAGGAGGAATCTCAGCCGCCCCGCCAAACTTGAGTCGAGACTGAGGGAAAGAAGAAAAAAGGAGAGAGAGAGGGAGGGAAGGAAGAGAGAGAGGGAAAGGGAGGGGGAAGGAAGAAAGAGGAGAGAGGGAGGGAGGAAGGAAAGAGAGAGGGAGGGAGAGGGAAGGAAGAAAGAGGGAGGAGGGAGGGAAGGAAGAAAGGGAGAGGGAGGGAGGGAGGAAAGAGAGGGAAAGGGAGGGAAGGAAGAAGGAGGGAGGGAGGAAAGAGAGGGAAAGGGAGGGAGGAAAGCAAGAGAGATGGAGGAGGGAGGGAGGTAAGAGGGAGAGGGAGGGAGGGAGGAAAGAAAGAGTGAAAGGGAGGGAGGGAAGGAAGAAAGAAAGAGGGAGGGAGGGAGGGAAGGAAGAAAGGGAGGGAGGGAGGAAAGGGAGAGGGAGGGAAGGAAGAGATGGAGGAGGGAAGACAGAAAGGGAGAGGGAGGGAGGGAGGAAAGAGAGAGGGAAAGGGAGGGAGGGAAGGAAGAAAGAGGGAGGGAGGGAGAGAGGGGGAAGGAAGAGATGGAGGAGGGAGGGAAGGAAGAAAGGGAGAGGGAGGGAGGGAGGGAGAGAAAAGCAAACCAGCCAACGCTTTGCTAATGGAAGGGTTGGATGCTTTGGAGTAGGAGCGTCGGCGGGGTGGGGGGGTAGAAGACAGGCTCTGCTATTCAGGGGGGCTTGGCTTGCACGCAGCCCAAATCTGGGTCCCCTTTCCCCACGTGCGCCGCGATCAGTGAAGGATGCCGCCGCGGCTGCATTCACACCTGGCTGGTTTTCCGCGTGGTGCGAACTCCACGAGCTCGGGGGTCTTCTGGATTGGCAGCGTCGAGCAGCTCGGCTTCCCATCCGTCCCGGGGCGCAGCCAAGAGCGGGGACCCCCGCTGCGAAGCCATTTTAACCTCCCCCCACCCCGAAATCCTCCCCCCCCCCCAGCAGCATCCATTCCAACGGCCAACAGAAGCACACGAGGCAAGCTCGTCACTCAATATATAGGTTTCTTTTAATATAAAAAAGTGTCTATTAAAAATTCCTTCCTAAATACACAAAAAGACCAATTGGGGTGCGGGAGAGGGAGCAGTAAAAGAAGGGGAAGAAGAAAAAAAAAAGTGGCGGTGGTGGGAGGGGGGGGGATTCGGGGGGTGGACGAAGACAAATTTTTTGGCCAGGGAGAGAGGAGGAATCAAGCAAGCAGCAGCGGCGGCGGCGGCGGCTCAGATGGTGCCAATCCGGAGGATTTGAGTGTGTTTCGTCTCCAAGCAACTACCAAGGCTGGTATATTTAGATGCACAAATGGACAACACAGGATGGGGTTTATTCTTTTTTTTTTTCCTTTTTTTTTTTCTTCTCTTTTTTTTTTTCTGCACGATCCACAAAGCTGTACGGAAGTTTCCAAAACAGGAAAAGGAGGGAAATAGAGAGCAGGACAAAAGGCGGGGTGGGGAGGAGAGGGGAAAAGGGTGGGATTGGGGGGGTGGGGGGGAGTCGCACGCATGCGTACACGCGCACGCACACACCCTGAGCTCAGCACTGGCATAAAAGGGCGCACGCGGAGGAAAGGAATACTGTACTCATTTGGGCTTACAGGTGGCCAATGAGAACTCAAGAAAACTTCGTTCCCTCCCCTCCCCTCCTCCCTCTCCCCCCTCCCCTTCCTCAACGAAAGGGTGTATTAGCTTGTCTATTTTTTTCCCTAGTTTTTTTCTTTTTTTTTTTAATACAAACTTGGGTCTTTGGGTGTGTCCTGCCAAAACAAAACAAAACAAAGAAAAAAACCAACCCAAAACAAAATATTTTTTTTGTTTCAAAACTCCCCCAAACAATAGAAAAGCAACTGAAAACTCTCAATGAGAAACCCATGCTGAAATTTGCACATCACAAAACCACAGCAGATGTACAGATGCAATATACAATTCACGATTTATAATAAAACATTATATACAATAAATAGGTTCTTGTTACTTTTTTGTTTTTGTTTTTTTTTTGTCAATCTGCAAATAAGATTTCTCAGTGCATATCCGACACAATTAGCTTCTCTCCTGCTTTGACTCTCTGGCCACCTTTTTTTTTTCTCCATTATTATTATTATTAATTATTATTATTATTATTTTTGTCTTCAAAACATTTCAGATTTTGAATGTATGTGTGTGTGTGTGCATGTATGGGAGGATACATCTTCATGGTGTTTGCTCTTTTGTAATTTTTTTTTCTTTTTCTTTTTTTACATTTTTGAAAAGTATTTACAATTGCTGGTTTTGTGCAGATAGAAAAGGCCCGTTTCCCTCAACCCTCCCGCCCTCCCTCCTTGCTTCCAATGGAGAAGACATGTTTGTGAGCTTCTCCCAGTCAGATCCATCCGGCACTAAGGGGGCAGAGAGGAGCAGTAACAGAGGAGCTGGGGCCACACAAGAGAGTGTGGGGAGAGCGCCCCAAAAGGCGATGCAAGTCTTCCATGGTCTTGCTGGAATCTCTTGGTCGGTGGTGATGGTCGCGGTGGTGATGGCGATCTTCGCTGGTAGATCTCTCCTTGTTCTCCCACCCCATTCCAGCAAAGAAACAGGTCACAAGGAGCAGGTCTGTTGCATGCTTATAACAAAGGGGGTGGTGAGCAGACAGGAATCTTCTTCCTTTGGGTAACAGAAACTGAGAACAGAAACAAAGAAAGTTTACCGAGTGAAAATGGAGGCAGATGGTAGTAGCTGGAGATCAGCCTAAGGGAGAAGAACCACAGCTGGATAATGCAAATAATGGACACAGAGAGTGGACAATAACAAGAATGTCCTGCTTTTTATCTGCTAAAACAAATAATTCCCTCAACACTGTCAAACTATTCACCAAGTCTGCACTACTATTAATCTGCTCATCGTTCCTATCACCCATCTCTTCTCACTTACAACTGTAACTTTGTTGCTTGTATCCTTACGATTTATATTGATTGTTTCCTAGTATGATTTGATTGCTTATTTGTACCAGGGGTGAAATCCAGCAGGTTCTGACAGGTTCTGGAGAACCGGTAGCGGAAATTTTGAGTAGTTCGGAGAAGGGCAAATACCACCTCTAGCTGGCCCCAGAGTGGGGAGGGAATGGGGATTTTGCAATATCCTTCCCCCAGGAGTGGGGTAGGAATGGAGATTTTGCAGTACCCTTCCCCTGCCACACCCACCAAGCCACGCCCACAGAACCGACAGTAAACAAATTTGGATTTCACCACTGATTTGTACCCTATGACTATCATTAAGCGTTGTACCTTATGATTCTTAACGAATGTATCTTTTCTTTTTATGTACACTGAGAGCACATAGGCATCAAAGACAAATTCCTTGTGTGTCCAATCACACTTGGCCAATAAAGAATTCTAATCTAATCTAATCTAATCTAATCTTTTTCCAAATTAGGGGTTGAAAATGCAAAATGGCTTTAGATTTATTTACTTAATTTAAAACATTTGTATAGCTGCTCCTCTTATAGACAGTTGTGGGCGATCCAAAGATGATCTCTAAGAGCAATGCTTCTCAATCTTGGTTTGGTCACTTGAAGATGTGTGGACTTCCGACTCCCAGCACCCCCCAGCGAAATAAGAGTTGGAGTTCACACACATCTTCAAGTGGCCAAGGTTGATAAACACTCTCTAGAGCAGTTTTTCTCAACCTCAGCCGCTTTAAGACGTGTGGACTTTCAACTCCCAGAACTCCCCAACCAGCTATGCTTCTTTCTGGGAGTTGAAGTCCTCACGTCTTAAAAGCGGCTGAGGTTGAGAATCACTGCTCTAAAGCGGGAGTCTCCAACCTTGGCAAATTTTACGACTTGTGGACTTCAACTCCCAGAATTCCTCAGCCAGCATGTGCTGAGGAAGCATGTCCACAAGCATGTGCTGGCTGAGGAATTCTGGGAGTTGGAAGTCCACAAGTCATAAAGTTGCCAAGGTTGGAGACCCCTGCTCTAAAGTATATTGCCTGCAGCCTGTGTTCCTCCCATCGATGGCTCAAAATCTTGGTACCCATGTGGTTTTTCCTGGTGTTTCTACTTAGTCGCAGTTCTCCAACATTTTACACAGAAGCTTTTCCTAGCCCTAAATTGGATTCAGACAGAGCTTCCAGGAGGGTCAATCTAGCATCTTCCTGGCTGAGGAACTCCTGAGTCCATAGATCTTAAAGTTGGACACCTTTGCATTAGAAGTTACCTGCAACTCATCATCCTGGGTTAAAGCACAAGGCTTAGGGGCTCATCTATGTGTTTGGCCTTATATGCCTTCCACATGTACATCTGCAGTGTGGCTTGCTGACTGCCAAATTGGTTGAAGTGGAGTGAGGAGGTTGGGTTGCTAATCTAAGACAACTTTCACCAAGGTGTTAAGACCTCAACTAGCAATTGGATAGTGTTGGATTGAAGGAAAATAGTGTAGGAAGTTAGCACCCACCCCTCTCCTAGAAGAATGAAATATTTTAGGAAATATTAAAAAGGCAGAATATATTTCCCTGGATGAGAAATGGAGAAACATGTTTTAAAGACAAAGCAGCTCCCACCTTTCTGCCTCTGACCACCCCCGTTTGTCAATGGGCGATTAAGGCCTCAGCCTAGCTCACTCATTCCCCCACTTTGTCAATGGACCATCATCTGCAACACAATAGGACCCATCTAGCAACAGAAACTCACCAAGAGCCTGTAGTACAGTGGACTAAAGCACTGTTATTAACATCTGCTGCTTGCAATTACTGCAAGTTCAAATCTCACCAGGCTCAAGGTTGACTCAGCCTTCCATCCTTTCAAAGGTAGGTAAAATGAGGACTGAGATTGTGGGGGCAATAAGATGACTTTGTATAAATATACAAAAGTATGAAGGCTATTGCTTAAAGCATTGTAAGCCGCCCTAAGTCTCCGGAGAAGGGTGGTATATAAATTAAAGCCAAAAAAAAAACATGGCACCTGGGAAGATTACATCAGTCAGCAAGGCTAGTTAAGACCCCCACCCCCTGGGAATCTTGACAACCAATCAGGATACTCTTTCTGGGCCCCAGGAAGTTCAAAGCCCAGAGAGGGCATAAAACCCGGAGACTCGCAGCATCTCTGCCCTTTTTCTGCTCAGAAACTCAAACCATATGATCTTGTCCACCATTAAACCATCTTTCCAAGCAGTCTCCATGTTTCCAGTGTCTTTTTCCCCACCTGGAGCTGAACCCAGAAGGCTATTTCTTCCAACAACAGCCTGGAACAATGATCCACAATGCCTTTCTGAAGTTTTACCTATAAGTGTTGGAAGTGCATTCCCCGGTCTATAAATGGCAAACGGAGGTGCATGGATTAATTTCAGTCCAAATCAACTTGCAAAATCAAAACCGGCTCAATATCCCTCATCAATACAACTTCCAAAATCAAACTGGCTCAATCAATCAATCAATCAATACGAGAGGGGGGGAAAAGTTTCTTTTTCACATGCACCAAAGCTTTCCTGCCGTATCTGAGAGGTTCAGAGGCATCCAGGTCATTTTAGCTTTCCAGTCTGATCTGGAAAGTCAATTCCGTTCAGATGATTGATCACAGCGGGTTCAAACGAAATCCCTGATTTGAAATTTTGCATGGCCCTAAAATACACTGAAGGCAATAGACCCGATCAGCTCTGCCTGGACCATGAAATGGGGGAATTCTTCTGGTCTAGAAGAAAAACTTAAGGCCAGAGGAAGGACAAATTAGGGCACCCTGTTGCTAAACCCAACTCCCTTTAGCCCAGCCCCAATTGGGTTTTGGGTGATAGCAATAGCACTTAGACTTACATACTGCTTTATAGTGCTTTATAGCCCTCTCTAAGCAGTTTACAGAGTCAGCATATTGCTCCCAACAATCTGGGTCCTCATTTTGTTGACCTTGGAAGGATGGAAGGCTGAGTCAACCTTGAGCTGGTCAGAATCGAACTCCCGGCAGTGAGCAGTGAATTAGCCTGCAATACTGCATTCTAACCACTGCGCCACTATGGCTCATGATGGGATGCTGACAACTGTAAAGTAGCTTCTGGAAGACAGAAAAACTTTTCTCCCCAAGTCATTACATGTTTGGACAAAGTAATGGCAAAAGGTCTCAAAAATTTACTATCAAACTAATTTTGCAAGTGTCGCAAAAGTATCTAAACTGCACTGCTTTCCTCAAACTTGGCACCCTCCTGGTGCGATACATGAAATCAAAAACACACAAACGTGTCTGGATCAAGCCTTTGTGAAGCCTACAAGGAGAATGACAGGTATTTTCTTGTCCAGCAACTGGTAGTGAAAGGTATTTTGGCTGAGTTCACACATTGCACTGAGTCATGGTTTCTTTAACTGTAGCTTAATGAATAAGCCATCGCCTGTTGCTCTTCCAGGTTCCGGCGAACAGGCCAGATGGTCTTCACGGATGCAGGAGCACTGGAAACCATAAGAGTCGTCACCCGGTGCGCATGCACGCCAGAAACCAAAGACCAGGTGACGGGGCCCATATGTGCGCCGGAAACCGGAAGATCATCTTCCCGGTGCGCGCATGCGCGAGTGGCTGCTCTTCTGGTTTCCAGCGCGTGCATACACCCCGGCCACCTGATTTTCATGTGCGCATACGTGCCAGAAACCAGAAGACTAGGTGGCCGGTGCACATGCACACACTGGAAACCGGAAGATCATCTTCCCGGTGCACACATGCGCACTGGATGGCTGCTCTTCCAGTTTCCGGTGCACTGCAGTTTTGGCACTCGGTGCCGAAAAGGTTCACCAACACGGCACTAAGCCAAAAATAAACCACATCATATTTTACCCTCCTCTTTGCCACTGGTACAAGATAGTTTGTCAGCCTTATGAGAACACTGACCATGCTGACTTAGAGCTTTTGGGAACTGGCAGCAAGCCAACCAGCTGGTAAAGAAGAGAACTGAAATACAACATGTAGAGTTGTCTTCAGAGAAATATCCCATGCAGGGACTGGGTTTCTACAACATACTAGATTAGGCTAAACCAGGGGTCTGCAACCTTAAGCACTCAAAGAGCCATTTGGATCCGTTTCCTACAGAAAACACTGGGAGCCACAAAACCTTCCCGTGCCTGACTATTTCTTGAGCGGCCACAAAACTAGCATATGTAGTTGAATTAAATGTTCTGTTTTCTTCGGAAACTTTTCTTTTCTTGGATTTATCCATGGTTGGCCTACCGGCGGTTGAAAAGCTCAATAAATCGCATGCTGGTGGGTGTCACACATTGGCGGTTGTGATACATATTTTGAGTGACAGGGAGCCGCAGCAGAGGGGTGAAAGAGCCACATGCGGCTCCAGAGCCGCAGGTTGCTGACCCCTGGGCTAAACCATGGTTAGAAATTTCTTGGATAATAAGCAAAACGTCTTCAAAGGAAAACCAGAAAGTCCAGTTGCCTCTTGAAAAAGCACCTTTGGGACAACCATGGTTTTGTAGTTTGTACAGGTAGTCCTCGACTTACAACAATTTGTTTAGTGACCATTTGAAGTTACAACGGCACTGAAAAAAGTGACTTATGAGCATTTTTCACATTCACATTTAGCATCCCCCATGGTCACGAAATTTACATTCGGATACTTGACAACTGACTCATATTTATGATGACTGCAGAGTCCCGGAGTCATATGATCCCTTTTGCGACCTACTGACAAGCAAAGTCAA